TTTTTTTTTTTTTTTTTTTTTTTTTTTTTGAAAATATGAATATAGTTGGTAAATACTGTTGGTCTTTTAAAAAATGCATCAACCTTAAATAAAAATTGTTGTGACAGGATGTTGGACCAATTTTTTCTTCTGTTTCTCACTCGATGCTGCTCTTTATAAACGATTCTTTGTCTTGGAATATTTGTGGTTTTTTCCGATTTACTCATATCTTTATTTGTATAATTTACAAATTTTAATTGGCGGAACAGGTGGGGTTTTTTAGTGGGCAGCTAAAATTTAGTTTTTTTGATAAGAACTTTTGCTTGTTGGGAAGTAATTTAAATGAGGGAGTTTTAAAATTGTTTGAATTTTACATAGCTCTTTAGAATTATAGATATGGCTTTGGGTAATCATGGAACAATGTCGTATTACAGTTGCTAGATAAATTTTGCTGTAAAAGCTGGATTTTTGATAGAAAGAATTTTTGTAGGTAGTGGGATGCAGTAAATAATAATTCCACAAATGCTACTGACCTCCTCGCAACTTGATTAGTGTGTTGTGTTTCATGGAAATTATGATTCTATTTGGATTGACTTTAAGGTAAATTGCAGTTACAGTTGTTTCAGTGGCTGCTGGATAAAAATTTGCTTAGTGCTGGGGAGACCTGACGACTGCTGGCAGTTTAATCGTATTTCTGACATTAGTCATTTGTGGTCCAGTGAGTACACGTTCGCCATTTCCAATCACTGTGTGTTTGTTCCATATTTAGAAGGTTCTTTCTAAAGTAATATATACATAACAAGAATTTCGTACGGTCTTGATATAATGACCAAGGATCTTTTTTTGACTTTATGAGTATCGTATCTTCAATATTCCTCTGTTGGTTACTGATTGAAAAGGGTAATCAAAAGTTATACCATTTTTTCATATTACAGGTTGCAAGATTCAGCGGATGAATAAAGAACTTGCTGCACTATTGGAATTGTTGCAAGATGAGTGCAACGATAATGAGGTAGAAGTGAACTCGCAAAGTAAATTGCTTCTTTCCTATTTCCATCATCACTTCATTCTGACTTCTACTTGAAAAATGAAGGTTTAGACAATGTCAACTGCGCTCAGGATAGTAAAAAAGGTGCGTCTGATGACGTTTTTCAACGAAAGGGAAGTCAACGGAGGGACAATAAATCTAGTGCTTTTAAGGTCTTGCATTAAATTGTCATTTTATACTTTTACCGTTGGTTTGTTTGATTAGCGTTATAAGTAACGGATGGTAGTAATTAGGACAGGAGTCGTTAGCTGGTAGCTCACTTGTGATCTCAAGACCGCAAAAGAAGACGAGTCATCGATGCGACTAAAAATTTTGTTTGTTTAAGAGCTTAAAGGATATGGGGACAGGGAGATGGGTAGTGCCGAGAAAGTGCTCTTTATGTAATACAATAACGAGTAAAGTTACATTACCTCGTATGAAATTAGAACCCGAAACTTAATGCTCCTCTCTTTTTTTGTCTGTCAAAATGTCCTTTTAAGCACCTTAGTTGCACGGTATTTTAAGAGCATTTGCGCCAATAACAGGAAGCACTATTTTTAATCATAACAACAATGTTTGTTTGTTTTTGCTTCTGGGTA